GTGTGGAGCCAACTAGGCCGCGCTGCTGCTCGGCGCCTCGGCTACCCGCGGGCCCATGCGAGTCGCCGGACTGAGAGGAGCGACTTAGCGCCCGCGCCGCCGCCTGGGCTCGGCCTGTCCCCGGCTCAATCCCGCCCGGCGCAAGCGGCCGGCCGGCCTCCCACAGGGCCATGGCCGAGCGCGGCTGCCCGCTGGAGGCGGTGCCGCTGCCGCCTGAGGTGCGGGAGAGCCTGGCGGAGCTGGAGCTGGAGCTGTCGGAAGGTGAGCGCCCGGCCCCTCACACCGCGACCCAGGTCCCCGGGGAGGACCCACCCCCCAGCCCCTCACACCGGGACCCCGGCACCGGAGGGCACCCCGTCGGGCTCCTCACACCGCGACCCCGCCCCCAGAGGAGCCCCGGCCTCAGGGCGCGGCGGGCCCCGCGCTGGGCTGGTGAGGCCGCGGGCGCGGGGTCTGGGCAAGGACGGCCGGTTCTGCCGCGGCCTCCTCCCCCACGAGAGCAGGGTCAGGCCCGAAGCGCCCCAGCGTGTGCAGAGTACGGGCCCTCAGAGCGGGCTGCCGCCGCTTTTTAGGGAGTTTTTACAAATTAGGCTTCAGAGTCATTCGGCTTCGGGGGTTGGGCGGCGCCCAGTCCGCGTCAGCGCCCGGAGGACGCGGCGTGGAACCCGGCTGTGGTTGTTGGTCATGGGGCCGGCCGTGAAGTCTGGAGGGGAAGCTTCCGAATGTTTACCTGTTCGGAAACTTAAGTACGCTTTCAACTTTTAGAATCCGTTTCCCCATAGTCTTATTATTCTTTCTTTAAATTCCAGGTTGAATGTCGGACTGGGGTTGGGCTCGCGGGTTCTTACAGCTGTCGTTCGGGTAGGTGCGCACAGGTCGCACTAACGTGCTGAAGCCTTGCCAGCTTAGGGGCAGGTGTTTTACAGGTAACGCAACATCTGCTTGCAACTGCCCTGAATTGCACGTACAAAATTTTAAAAGCTCTGTGATACATGGCATATTTTTGTAATGGAAGCACAATGGGAAATGGGTGGATTTAAGAGTTGGTGACTAGACGCTTTTGGGAACCTGAAGAACTCAAATTTAGGGAAGATTCTGACAAGAGCAATGATCCTGGGTTTGTACAGCCCTCATCTAGAGAAAAGCAAGTAGACACAGTTTACATTTGACACATTTCAGATGTGTCTTTGTAGATTGCTCCTAATTTCTGCTCCAGTGTGTTTGCTATTCCCTCAATTCCTTGTTTTGTTGTTGTATGTTTGAGTTCTTTCTAGACATTGATGGTTAAATGAGATCAAGTCCTTTCCTCAAAGAACTTCATAATTTGTGTGACGGAACACACGTAAAGACTGGCACTTCAGCAAAAGAAATGCTTCTTATCTATTGAATCGTTTATGCTGTTGTCATTTTAGACATATGTAGAGGATGTACAGATGTGTAAACGGTGTGGGACTATATGTAGGTGGACAAGAACCTGGAAACGCAGCCTGAGCTGAGGAAGGAGGTGAACTCAGTGTTGAAGGGAGGGGACAGCCAAGGAGGTCATAGCTCTGGCCTCTGGCCGCCTCCTGGATTGGCCCAACACCTTTCTTTTGGCCCAAACAGGTCAGCGATTACTCGGGCATAATCATACTTGGCTTTGGTCCCAGGGTGCTTCCACACCCTTGATGTTGGCTGCTTCAGCTTTTGTTGTGGTTGTAGCTGACTTGGGCCTCCCCGCTGGACTTGGAGATGCTTTGCCATAGGGACTTTGTCTTAGGCAGGTTTTTGGCATCTTCGCACAGTTCCATGTGGTAAGTGCCCATGAATCTCCACTGAATTATAACATTTCTGAACTTGGGTTTGGTCAGCTGTAAAAGGAGGTGAACACCAGCCTTACTGACATCCCACAGTTCTTGTGAAGATTCAGATAGTATATGTGAAAGTGCCTTGAAACTGGTAAGGTTTTAAAGGAATTAACGGTTAAAGGAAGATTTTTGTTTTGTTTTGTTTTTGTTTGTTTTTTTTTTCAGCCTCATTGGTTGCAAGGCCTCCAAAAATTTTGCAAAAGGAAGATGTTTTTAATGAAACATAGTCCCAAAGCAACCGCATTTAGTTTCATCGTCACGATCATTTTTACATTTCGACCATGTAGAAGTAGAAAGTGGGACTCTTTGCTCTGTGTGCTGTCTGTCCCCTCCCCCTTTGTGGGGAAGGGGATGAATTTCTAATTCAGAATAAAGTAATGTCAAAATAGGATGCCTTCACAGCACTCACATTTGTCTGAGCGAGAAGTTGCTTAAAACTTAGAGACGACACTGTGCTAGGCAGATTGGAGGGGAAAGCAAACAACACAGACAGAATGCTGCCTACGTGGAGACAGATAATCAGTCTTCAATACCTGGGTAACTGAGAATCCTGCACGACCTCCCCTCAGCTGTACCCAGGTACGCCCCTGCCTTTACTCATAACTCACACGTGGACTTGTTCTCCAGCATCCTCCTGGATTCTCCCCGGTCATTGAAATTGGGGCTCGCCCTCAGGGAAGGTTCTGGTTTTAGACTACACTGATTTCTCCCCATAGGGCAGGCTTGTTGACTTTCTGGTATGGATTCCCTAGGGGGAAATAAAGCACAGCTGTGATTTTTTTTTTCCTGACTTTTCCTGGCTGTTTCACCCTTCTTGACTTAGGAGTCTCCTTCAAATTTAGATGAGGATGAAAGGTGGAGCAGAACCTCACTCTTCTTAGAAGTCCCCCACCCCCACCTCCATGAAAATATTCAGAAGGATTCACATATGTGGCTCCTCAAAGTATATTAAAATGCCTGTGGATGGAAATGAGGTTATTAGAGGTATAATCTTCTTTTTTTTAAAAAAAAAAGATTCCTAAACACTTGTGCTTTGCCAGTTATTGTATGAAATGACCTTCGACTGATTTCAGTACTGGACAGTATCTTGGGGTTGTTGCTACTGAACGGTTTTAAAAACGAGGAGGATGGTATAAAGTTTGTTCTTTGTTTCAGGGGCCTACAGAAGTTTAGAGAGGAAGTTCTTACACAATAGGTTACATTTGTCTCACTCCTGTTTTTTCATCCTGGTTAATAGGTCTATTCCCTAGCTTTAACTTTAGTCTGTTTCTTGTTTTCCTGCATTCTCATAGTGCAGGGGTCCCAGCCTGGATGGAGTCAGCCCAAAGAGGAGGAGCTCTGTCTATGGATGTAGAGGAAGGGGCTTCTTCCTTCTTTCTTTCACAAAGCCTTTTTCCTCTTCAAATGTCTTTAATTTCTAAAATCTGTCATGTAATTCTTAGCTTTCAGAATGACAGACTGATGTTGCCTTCACATCAATAGACGTTTGTTATGCTTCTGAAATACTCTGTGGTATACTGAAGTGCTCATGTCCAAATTCCGTTCACCTGTCAAAGCCCAGCCCAAATGTCTTCTCATTGTGACACTTTCCTGATCACCTCTGATGTGGCTCCTTTCCCGGAATTCTCATCAAATTTGCCTCATCTTTTGGAGTTCTTGCCACTTTTTGGTTTTTGTGTTTCTTATTTGTATGTATTCATTCATTCAGTAATTGCTGATACCTGCTGGGTGCTTGGTCATGTTTTGTCTGTCAGTGGTCAGGTTTAGCTTTGTTTCTCCAGTGGTCATAAGGCTTTGCACAATATTGCATTAAAATAGTGATGCAGACACACATTGCAGAGAAATGAAGCAGTTCAAAGGAAATGTTGGATGGAGTGAGCCTCCCTCGTACCCCTAGCCTCTCCCCAAAGGTAGCCTCTGTTATCCATTTCTTGTATTTCCTTCCAGAAGCAATCTGCCCTGGTTCCCAAACTGTGTTCACACACCTCTCAGGAGTCCCTAAGACTCTTGCTGGGGGCCTATGAAGGAAGATGTCATTTTTGTTTTCCGTTTGTACTGATGGTGCAGAAGCAATGGTGAGTAAAACTGCTGGTGCCTTGGTGCGAACTGTAGCAGGGGCCCCAAACCACACTGAAGTCATTGCATTCTTCATCACCTCCCTGCTCACAGTAAAATCAGTGCCACTCTGACTTAGACATGTCCTTCCTTGCTGAAGCAGGGACAGTTGGTTTAAATCTCAACCGCGAGTACTGTTTTAGTCTCTTAGTGAGGAACGGGAGGTGACTAAAGCATGTCTGCCGCACTGAGCGGGCCAGGCCTGTGTGAGGAGCAGCGGTTGTGCAGTTTGAGCTGCAGAACAAACTGGCTGCTTTTGCCGTGGAGCATGATTTTTAGTTGAAAAAAATGAGTGCAATTATTCAGAATGGGTATTTGGCGGACATTTTCTGAAAAATAAATGAAGAACAACTGTCATAAATTTATACTTTCAAGCAAAAATTTTAAAATTTAAAATTTGTATCTGCTACCATGAGCTTGACAGCTTCTCAGTCCTTAAGGACTTCTTTGATGGGTTCAGTGGCAAAGTTAATGAACGTGAGTTACTAATGCTATTTAATGAAATGTGTTGACATTTGGAAGATTTGCAGAATTCTGTGAACCAGTATTTTCCAAATGATCGGTGCATCATGTTACAAATTCACACATAGGTGAAGGATCCATTCAAAGTAGACCAGTGGGTTGCAGTGTATCAGCAGGAAAAGTTCATTGATAAGGTTTTAGATTCTATGTTGCAACTGTTGTTTAAGAAACTACCACTTGCCTCATTTTGGTGTGGTATCAAAGAAGAATGTCCACAACGATCTGAAGAAGCTACTGAAATACTCCCCGCTTTTCCAAGCCATGTGTGTGTGTGAGAGACTGGATTTGCTTCATAAACTGCAACCCCACATTCTGCAGCCCACTGAATGCTGACGTGGGTACGAGAACTAAGAGAGTGCAGTTGTCATCTGCGAAGCCAGGTATTAAAGAGGCTTGTAAAAGTAAAACAATACCTGTGCTCAGTAAATGCTGTGGAAATCTATTAATTTTTATTTAAAATATCTTTATGTTAACATGGTAGGTTTATTATAAATTTTAAAATTAATTATTAAATTAAAAAATTTTTCACAGTTTTTATTTCTAATATGATAAACATTGATAGCTCACAAACAAAAGCTCCATGGGGTTTTTAGTAATTTCTAAGAGTGTGTTCTTGAATCCAAAACCTTTGAGAGCTGCTAGGCCATGTAACACTAACAAAGACCTAGGTGTCATCATGTATTTCTTATACTTTTTATAACATTTTTTAAAGCTGTTGTCTGGTGGAACATGACTTCTGTTTATATTTGTCAGGGCAATCAGATATTTCAGCTTAAAAAACATATGTTTGAAAATCATTAAAAATTATACTTACTGACTAGCTGGCTGGTGGTCAGGGTTCCCCCGGTTCTGTGCAGCAGATCTGCTGTTTCTCTCTTTAGTGTTTACTGAACTTGGGGTCAGAAACCTTGGATGTGAGTCCCTTTATTAGTTCATTAGTTTTGGGCTGGAATCTGTTTTGGGTTCTATTTTGTTCTCTGTGGCTGGGAGCTTGGCATTCAGTGGCACTTTGGGGTTGGTGTCTACATTGGATACTTGAAAATACGGTAACGGGTTACACATTGAAATCTGTAGCTGGTTATGTTCAACTAGTTCAGACAGCTTTCAGGGTATCATGAGCACCAAACAGGGAGTTAGAACTTTTCCTTTCGAAAGGCTCTTTGGTGCCTTCACCATGTAATCATTCATTTGAAATGGGGACATAAGAAGACACTGTTTCTAGGAAATGAATACTTAATTTTTAAATATCCTGCAAAATCAAATGCTCTGCTTTTAAATAGGATTTTATCTGTTTTAGTGTATTGTAGCAATATTAAGTTTTGATTTATTTGTCTTAATTACATATTTTCATATATTCCAAAGGAACATAAATTTTTTTTAGTAGATATTGTTTCAAAAAACACATGTACTTTAAAGTTGTTCACAAGCTGAAACTCATTAAGCAAAATCATAAATCATATCCTGGATCCGATTGGGGTCTATGAGTGTCTAGTGAGTGTCTAAAGAGGACAACACAGTCCAAGGGCCACTGCCGCCAGCAGGGGCTTAGGTGTGCTCATTGCATCATAGATGGGATGGTGATAAACACGAAGCGCTTGGCGAAAAAGATTGTCAATGGAGTGAGATTTATTATATAAGGTCATTCAGGTAAAGTCAAAATATGTGGACACAAAGCAGGCATACGTTCTGCAGAACATACTCGAATTAAAACGCACTCAGTGCAATAGAATAGTTTCCTGTGGAGTGGGGGTGGGGGTAAGGCGAGGAGAGGGATAGATCAGAGTGTTGGGGAGGTGAAGAGCAGCTCTGTGGGGAGGGGCCCAGCTGAATACTCAGTTATCCGAGCAGAGGCTCTCTGCAGAGGGCAGGGCACAACCTAGTGATTCCCTGACCTCAGGCTGGCCTTCTGTAGAGGGTTAATGTCTACCTGGAGGCTTAATCTAGATGTTAGACATTCAGAAGTGTTGATCTTTGGAAAACAAATCAAGAGTTTATTTGGAGGAAATCCTTAGTGAGACACTCAGGAAGCGGCAGCAGCAGCCTGGCCTCACCACTTGGCTTGTTTGTTTGGGGAGGATGGGGGGTCAGGGGATGAGGGGGTGCCTAGAGGGCTTGCAAAACACTAAAAGCTTTCTGTTGAAAACAGTTCACCTGAAGAACAAGGTAATAGCAGAAATTGTAATATATATTTCCAGTCAAAGTAAAATCTTTAAAAGGTGCCAGAACCACCCTGAGCACTTTGAGTTCTGTCTCGGAAACCAACTGGTGCGCTTATATTGGGGAAGTGTTTCCGTGCAGACACATTTCCTGTCTTGTTCCTGGGTGCTTTAATTCTTTTTCTGGCTGCTCGTCTTTATGGTAATCTATTAGATGGGCAGTCTTGGCCCAGGGACGCCCTTACACCAGTACTTCCACAGCTGGAAACCTGCACAGGGTCACCTGGGGATCTTGGTAAAATGAGGATTTGGATTGTCTCAGTCTAGGGAATGGCCTCAGGGTCTGTAGTTCCGACCGGCTCCTGGGGGATGGTGATCTCAGTTTTTGAAAATTGAAGTATTGTTTACACACAGTAGGCTCCACACTTTCTGGTTGTAGTTTTGTGTTTTTGACAAGCACAGAGGCCATGGAACCACCACCACAGTCAGAGTATAGAACAGTGTGATTGGCCCCCAGAACCCCCCGTCCCCCCTGTAGTCAACATTCCCTCCTCCCACCCCTGGCAACTACTGTCTGCTCTCTGTCCCTAAAATTTTATCTTTTCCAGAAGGTCATGTAAATGGAATCATTCAGTGTGTAGCCTTTTGAGCCTGGCTTTTTCACTTAGAGTGTAAACCCTATCCAAATGTTGTGTCAATAGTTTCGTTTTCCTGCCAAATAGCATTCCACTGTGTGGATGCATCGGGCTTAGTCTGTCCAACCACCAGTTGGAGGACCTAAGTGTTTCCAGTTTTTCCATTATGAATGAATTTTTCATTCAAAAGTTTTGGAACTTTAAAAGAAATATAAGTCCATTTTTCCATTGTTGTTTCAGGTGACATCACTCAGAAAGGGTATGAGAAGAAAAGGGCAAAGCTGCTTGCACACTGTGTGCCGCTCGCTCAAGGTAAGGCCAGCGCACAATCCTGAAACTGATTGAGAAGTTTGACATTGGTCTGCTTCATATTTTATTAAGGAGGTATGGGCAAATAGTGTATCTAATACTAACTTATAAAATCCAAAGTCATAGATTACAATTTATAGCTCTGGCTTTGTATAGATTTCATTCCCAAATAGGATTTATTTATTTTTATGATCGTAGACCGTGATTATTTTATGATTTTAGTGAGGAGCATTCCTTGCTCCTGGATCAAATATGACGAAGATGTCAGTTCTTCCCCCTGAGACTGCTACACAGGGTCAGAACATTCAGTGTTTCAACAGAGGTTCCTGGATGGAATTTCACAAGCTAATTTTAACATTTATATTGAAGTTTAAAGGGCCAAGGAATTCAAAATATGATTTAAAAAAGAAGAACGAAGTGGGAGGATTTGCCGATTAGGGTGTGAAGAGTTATCGAGCCTTCGTCACGAAGACAGCCTGGTTTGGCAAGGGATCGACAGCTGGATAGCAGAGCAGAACATGGAGCCCCCAGTGCTGGCACAGCTCCTTGTCCACATGTGAGACACACGACACCGGACACAAATCGGTTCCAGGCGTAGGGAAGGCCTAAAGGTGAAAGGCAAAACTGTAACACCTTTGGAAGATCATACTGGAAGACTGTCACCATCTCTAAGGTGATCCTCTGGGAAGGATTTCTTAAGTCCCTAAAGATAGCAAAAAGCAGCAACCATAAAGGAAAAGATTGGTAAACTGGAGTGTGTTAAAAGTAAGAGTTTTGTTTTATCAAAAGTCACCATGAAGAGATTAAAGGCTAGCCGCAGAGTGGGAGGAGATTATCATTAACACACATAACAGAAAAAGGACTGGTGTCCAGATCCTGTAAAGCAGCACCGTCCAACAGAGCCTTTCTCGATAAAGGGGATGGTCTGCAGCTACGTTGTCCAGTACACTGTTCACACTGACCACTTGCCACGTGTGGCTATGGAGCACCTGGGATGTGGTAGTGGGACTGAGACACTGGACTTATAATTTAATTTTAACTAGTTTAATCTAAGTAGCCAGAAAGTCCCCCAACATGATTTAAAGCAAAGCCCAGTGGAAAAATGGGTGAAGACCTGAGTAAGTATTTATTAGAGGAAACCCTAGAAGTCAGCAAGCAAATGAAAAGATGTGTACCTACCCTCGGTAGTAGTTAGAGAGATGCCAGCTAAACCGAGACTCACCTTGGGTTGCTGGCAGGCTTCAAGCTGGGTGAGCACAGTATGGGGCTGGCAGAGCAGTGGAACTGCAGGGCGGCCAGCAGCTCCCCTTCAGGAACAGCATGCCCTTGAGAGACACCGGGTGTCCACACGTGGTCTTGGTTCTGCGCACAAAATTCATTTTCCCCTCAACTGCCAAGTCCTTAAACATCAGCAGAAGGCATACCTGTGTCAGCAAGGATGAGCCCCCTAATGGGAATGACAGAAACGGTTACATGGAATATGGCCATGGAAAACTAAAGAGCATGTGAAAGGCACCACATGGGAGCCTTTCATAACTGGTAGAAAAAGACAGGGAGGGAAGTGCCTTCCCCGAAGTGGGCACACATTCTGTGTGGGTGCCACTGGAGGGGCCACAGGCAATGCTAGGGCACTTGAGTGTTTATTTCTTAACTGGTGCAGTTGTTACCTTGATTTATTTTTCTGTATAATAATTCTTAAACTGAGTATAGGCTTTGTTCTGCCTGTATCGGTGTGATACATTTTATAACACATCAATAACAAGAATGCTGAGGAAGCTTCATATGTACGGCCATTCATTCATCCAAAATAAAACAAAAACAGACTCAGAGTAAAATTGAGGGACCCTACTAAAAAACATCTTAATGCCCATTTGCATGACACCAACAGCAGCCGTCCAAGGAGGGTGGGAGGGCCCACAGTGTGCCCTCAGGCACTCTGCTCAGGTGGCCACTGCCAGTGCATTGCAGTGAGCTGGCCAGTGGACGCAGGACCGACATGCTCACTCACAGGTAGTATTATTTCATACCTTGAAAACCTAAGTGACTGCTTACTTAACTATCAGAATTAGTAAGAGTTTTGGTTTGACAGAAGATAAATATGCAAGAATCAATAGCTTTTCTCTGGCAGTGTTTCTGTTTTGTTTTGTTTTGTTGATTAACAAATGTCAATATTTTATTTTAATTAATTAATTAATTAATTAATTAATTTATAACAGACTTTATTCTTTTAGAGCAGTTTTCAGGTTCACGATAGAATTGAGCAGAAAAATACAGAGTTCCCACA